GGGGGGGAAGGAGAAGGATTGGGATTGGGGGTGAGGGGGGAGGCTGGGAAGGGATGTGAAGGGTAAACCAAAGGAGGAGGCTGCAATGCTTGGTAAAAAATGTACGCATTATCCTGCCCATGTAATTGTAACCCCTCTGTAGAGTATCTTCACAAATAAAATAAAATAAAATAAAAAATTGAAAAAAATACTACAATCCGCAAATTTACTTAATTATTGTATTTCCCTGAATAAAACTGAAACCCCTTTGTCCAACTACTTAAAGCTAATAAAAATAAGAAATAAAAACCTACATTACACATACATGTGTGTATGAGATAAAAGCTGTGGAATTACTTGGTTACAAGCTTCAATGTTCATTTTCAGATAGTTCTGATTTCAGAAATACTAAAAATATGGAGGAAATGCCTCTGTATCAATGAAATTCAGTATTTGTTGGGAGCTGACAGTAAAGCTCCAAGGTCAGCTTGACCCCTGTGCTCACTTGAAGGAACCTACAAAGAACTGGCTTTCATGAAAAGCACCGGCTGCCCGGGATTGCTTTGCTATGTCTGCAGAGTTTATTTTACTTTCTACCAGTTGACTTGTTTTTACTGCACCTTGTTTTTATTAAAATTTTCCTTGTTTTTCTGCACTATGGTAACCTTATGTTACCTCTTGACTTCTAATAGTATATAATAAGGAAAGTTACAAATAAACGGTGCTGCAGTCTTGAGCTGCAGACCTCCCGACCCCATCCTTTGTCTTATGTCTTTATTTTTCCGCATCCTCCCCACCCTAATTCAGGATTCCCTTTCCTTGCCAGCAGGCTCTGGCAAGTATTCTCTATAAACTATTAAACATTAAGTATATTTAAATTTGCATATGAAATTACTGGCTCATTCTCTCCATACCACGGGTGCTCTTTAATGAAATGACTCTCTCCAGCTTCCCAGGGAGCTTAGCTTATACATTCTACGTGTGTAGGTTTGTTTGTTTAGAGGGTTTTGCTTGGTTTTACTCTATTAAGATACTACCCAACTTCTCAAAAATTCATGACTGTTTAGCAGATTCTAAATAGTAGAGATCATAAATATCACCTACTTACCCTCTTGCCCTACACAAATCTCATGAGATGATCTTTATCAAACCTGGTAGTTATGAAAGACTAGCAATTACTGAACACTTCAAAACTTTTTCCCATTTAATGTAAATGGATCTAGAATTGAAATGTGAAACCATGCTGAAAATCTTCTAAATTCTGATTGATTTTTTCAGGAGTGGCAATTAGTCAAGGTATTCACTAAGCATTCTGCCTGCTCTACACATCAGTTCCTTTTGTCCTGGCTTCTGGCAAGGGGCTTCTTAAGGGATTCACAGATACTAACTGAGCAGTATTTAAATAGCAATGCGTTGGACAGCAATTTGTTGGAAAGTCTGGCTATGGGATCCAACAGATTTTTAATTAATGGTTTTCAGTACAAAGGATCCCGTTGAATTATTCATCTCAACCACTTCAAAACTATTTTTGCATCATTATCCTCCATTCTCTTCTTCACTCAAGATTTGAGCTTTCTTCCCCTCACTCTTTTTGTGTCCTTTTTACTGGTGACCTAGTGGCAAGGTGGCTAATTTGTACATTACAGGAAACAAAATAGCCGTGAAGATTGCTGACCCCAAACATGTGTACATGAGTACTGGTAAATCTGGGAATTGCCCCTGAAGAACTCCAGTTACTGCAGGAATGGCCATGTCTCCCAGAGTACCACCAATCAGAAAAAATGCAGTAGATTTGCCACTGATGGTGGTGTACTGTTCAATCCAAGAAACACCACTGGGAAAGGTGGTGGCTATGGAGGCCCCATACACCGAGGTTGCTATCCAGAGACAAAGGGGGCTCCTGTCAAAAAGCACCAGAAACAAACAGGAGACCAGGCTGCCAATGTTGCTCAACACAATCATAGTAGCAGGACGTAAACACGCAGCAAAGAAGATTGCCAGGCCCCGGCAGGCTGCGAAGGCTCCCCAGAAGATGGAGTTAAACCCAGCTGCCTCTCTCTCCTCCACGCCAACATGGGTGGTGGCAAAGGAGAAAAGGTAAGAATTGTATGTCACCTGAACCCCAACGTAGAAGAAGAAGAACAGAAAAAGCAGACAGAGAAGGGCCTTGTGGTATTGAGCTCTTCGAGATTGCTGAGCAGATACTGTTGATTTTCCCTGCCTTGAACTTTTCATGCAGAACAGAGCAAAGAAAAGGAGAGAAACTACAAGAATATAAGTGCCTATGGAAGCATAAGCCCACAGTAAGTTCATGTCATGGGGAGCTGCGAGTAGAGGGTCTGAGGCGGCTTCAGAAGAGGCATTGAGGGCTGCAGGGAGAAAGTCGGTTTCTGTGTGGTTGTCAGCAGACACTGTGGGGCCCAGTGCCAGTTTAGCCAGCAGGGGAGCCAGGAAGGCGCCCAGGGCAAAACTGAAGTATAAGGCCTGCATGTGGGGGCGGCCCTTGTCCCTCCAAAGAGCCAAGATGACGACATTCACACCTACCAATGAAACACAGGGAAAAAAACACAGTCATTATTGTTAGAGAAATCAGTCGGTGTCAGTAGCTCTGGTCAGTCCTTAGTCATCACCCATTGGCCCTGTATCAATTCTGTGAGACTCAGGAGCAGAAAACAAAGTGGCTTAACATCCCTTATTCATCTATGGTCAATGTATACATCCTAGTGCCAGACCAAAGGCTTATTACAAAACTTGCTAATTCCACACTACAGAGAAATATGGTATTCATATTTGTTTAAGTATGGATGTAAACTAGGTAAAAATTTTATCAAGTGGCCAAATTACTAGACCATTACATACTTGAAATTGGTAGTCAGTTCCAAATGAGGAAAATTTACTGATGTGTAAATAGATGCAAGAGGCCCATTCAGGACCAGCACACCCCAGGATCCCTGTGTTCTTATTACAGAAAACAATAGCTGCACCTACTCTGAGCATGTGCAAGCTGAAAGGCAAGAGCATCAAGGCTTTGCCTGTCTGCTTTGTAATCAGATATTTGCAGATAAGCACATAATTCCATCACTGAAATTTTATACACAAGTTAAGCCTGGAGAATTTACATTATATTTAATTGTTTGTTTGGCAGGACTGGGGTTTGGATTCACGGTCTCAGACTTGCTTGCTCTGTTTGCTTGGCTGGCAGTCTTCCACTTGAGCCATACTCTCAGCCTTGCTTTTTACTTGTTGTTCTTTTCTGCCCAGGTTGGCTTCAAAGGAGGATCTTTTAGATCTCAGCCTCATGAGAATCAAGGATTAAAGGCAGGAGCCACCAGCACCTGGCTTCAAGTAACTTTAGCATGGGAAAGAGAGGCATAAGCAATGGTAATCAATAATGGTAAACAATATCACATGTGTTATTCAGCAGGTTTTCAAGGACAATATGGCACATGGAGAACATCTGTTGTAGAAGACCAGAAACTTTAGAGAAAGAAAATAACAAAATAGAAACATGGGAAAGTAGTGAATTACATGGATTTCTCTAAGCTTGGGAGAGAAGATCGATTTTAGATTGTGTATCCGGAATAGAGAGAGGAAGAGTGGGTGAATTCAGTCATAATATTCAATATACATATGAGAAAACAGAACCAGATATCTTCAGAGCCTGGGAAGGAGGGAGGAGCATGTGGAAGGGGTGACATTCATCAAGATACACTGTGCTAAGCTGGATGCAGGTGGCTCATGCCTTTAATCCTTGATTCTCATGATAGCCTAGCTACTCAGGATCCTAAGATATGAAGATTGTGGTTCAAAGCCAGCCTGTGAGACACTTATCTCCAATTAATTAGTGGAAGTGGAGCTGTGGCTCAAGTGTTAGATGGCTCACTTTGAGCAAAAAGCTCAGGGACCATACCAGGCCCTGTGTTCAAGCCACAGGACCTTCATCTATCCACACATGCATGGACACACACACACACACACACACACACATATAAAAACATTATACACATAGATTGACATGTTAAATCAAAATGCCTTTGGACATTTTATATTTTGTATAATGTATACTGTGTAAATACTCTGTACATTATGTGTGATAATACTATGTCTGCTTCTGTCTGTGCTTTCACAGCCAAATAATGGTTACAAAGTTTTAGCCTAGTAGATAATTAACCCTCTAGGTTTAATTATCACCTGAGTAAATTTCTGTTGTTTCTAATTATTACAAGGCAAAGTTTAGCATCATCAGCTCAACTTTTCTAACAGAAAGCACCCACTCTTAGATAGAACAAAGGTGCCACTGACCTGTATCAATACTGCCAACCGCAGCCCCAAAGAGAGCCATCACGACAATCAGCAATGCTGCATTCTAACAAAAAGGGATAAGATAAAGACCAACAGTGGTAGCCAGCATTGACACCCCTAGGAAAAGTAAAAAGTGAACTTGTATGGTGTGCAGATGCCTCCTCCCCTACCCCACCCCACCCCCTCCACCTTGTAAACCTAGTGACTTGACAGGCTCAGACTGGGAGGATTGAGGTTTGTAGCCATCCTGGGCACAAAATCCCTTAGAAAGCAAGAGCTGGAGCTGGTGCAGACTGCCAGTGGCTTATGCTTATTTCTAGCTACTCAGGAGGCTAAGATCTAGGATGATCATGGCTTGAGGCACAGGCAAAAAAGTTCACTAGACCCCATCTGTGAAACAATCAGCTAAAAGTTCACTAGACTCTATCTGTAAATCAACCAGCAAACAATAGCAGGGCTAGAGGCATGAGTCAGGTGGTAGAGTGCTAGTTTAGCAGGTGCAAGGCCCCAAGTTCAAATCCCAATACCATACAAAAAGAAAGAAAGCAATAGGTGGGTGTGATGGTAAATGCCTGTCAGCTACAGTTAGATCTCAGACTAGGCCAGCCCAGGCAGACAAGTCCATGAGACTCTACCTCAGCAGAAGAATTGGGGGTGGGGAGTGGTGGATTGTATAACCCTGTCACCCTAGCTGCTGTGGGAAGTCTACCATATCACCACCCTACCATGTGATTTTTTTTGTTACTTTGTATGTTCCTCCCCCATAGTATAACCCCTGTTTTTACTGTATTCACTGTTGGTCTAACTTGGGGAGGGAAAGAAAAAAACAAAATGTTTAAATAGGGATACTGGTTGACCCATTGTAACAATGAGATGTACAAGGCACTATGTGGAAAAACGAACTGTACAATTTAGGAAGGGGGTGGGATAGGGGACTGCGGGGGGAGTGTAGTTTTGGAGATGGGAGGGAAGGGATGGTAAGGGAAAAACAAAGGAGGAGGCAACAATGCTTGCTAAGAAATGTACTCATTACCTTGCTCATGTAACGGTAACCCCCTCTGTACAGTAATTTCACAATAAAAACCATTAATAAAAAAGAATCAAAATCCTATATCAATAATAAGTAACATTTAGGAAGGAATAGAGGTATGGTTTAACAGTAAACCATATGACAAGCAAACAGAAGCACCTGAGAGCAAACTCTAGTAACCTGCCCCTCCCAACACACACACACACACACACACACACACACACACACACACACACACACACAAGTGTTAGCCAGACATAGTGACTCACACCTTTAATTTTACTTGTAAGGTTGAGGCTGAAGAATTGTATTTTCCAGTGTACCCTGAGCTGCATAGTGAGACCCTGTCCATTACAAAATGAAACAAGGAAGGAAGGAAGGAAGAGAGGGAGGGAGGGAGAGAGGGAGCGAGGGAGGGAGGGAAGGAATGAAGGAAGGAAGGAAGGAAGGAGGCAGGGAGGTGAAAAGGAAGAAAGAAAGAAAGAAAAAAGAAAGGAATGAAGGAAAAAAGAGAGAGGGAGGGAGGGAAGGAATAAGAGAAAGAGAGAAAGAGAAATAAAGAAAAAGAAAGGAAGGAAGGCAGGAAGGAAGGAAGGAAGGAAAAAGTGAGTGAGAGGGAGGGAAGGAGGAAGAGAAACAGAAATAAAGAAAAAGAAAGAAAGGAAGGAAAGAAGGAAGGAAGGAAGAAAGAAAGAAAGAAAGAAAGAGAGGGAGGGCAGGAGGGAAGGAGGGAAAGAGGGAGATAGAGGAAGAAAGGGAGAAAGAGAAAGAAAGAAAGGAAGGAAGGAAGAAAGAAAGGAAAGAAGAAAGGGAGGATCGAAGGGAGGGAGGGGAGGCAGGGAGCGAAAGAATGAGAGAATGAGAGAAAGAAAGAAAAAGGAAGGGAGAGAGAGAGTGGAAGAAACAGACTAAGAAGGAAAGGAAAACAGGAAGGAAGTATGGAAGGAAGAAAGGAAGAGAGGGAGGGAGGAAGTGAGGCAGGAAACGAGGGAGGTAGGGGAGACAGAGAAAAAAGAAAGAAAGAAGGAAGGAAGGAAGGAAGGACCAAAAGAAAGAAAGAAAGGAAGAAAGAACACAGAGAAAAAGAAGGAAAGAACAATATTCACTAGGGTCTTAGGTCAAGTTATCATCATTAAAAAAGGCACCAAAAAGATATAAGTATTAAACTGAGAAAATTGGGTTGGGAATGTGGTTCACTAATACAGTGCTTGCCTTGATGCACGAGGCCCTGGGTTCAATTCCTCAGCAAAATATAAACAGAAAAATCCAGAAGTGACACTGTGACCCAAGAGGTTGGAGCCCTAGCCTTGAGCTGAAGAACTGAGACACATCACCCAGGCCCAGCGTTCAGGCTCCATGAATGGCCACTCCAAAAAAAAAAAAAAAAAATTGGAAAAAAACTGGATAATCATTAGCAAATGAGAGATGCTACTTCTACTAGTCATAATTTTATCTAAATGTTTTATAAAGTTTATGGATTATACAGATTCTATTACTATAATCTCAACAGCATCAGAGTGTTGCTAATACTCTAATAAATTTAATATGGGGCTGGGAAGTTGGCTCAGTGGTAGAGCACTTGCCTTGCATGCATGACGCCCTGGGTTTGATTCCTCAGCACCACATAAGCAAAAAAGAAAAAAGCCAGAAGTGGCGCTGTGACTCAAGTGGTAGAGCACTAGCCTTGAGCAGAAGAACTGAGGGACAGCGCCCAGGCCCGGAGTTCAGGCCCCACAACCGGACCCAAAAAATAAATACATAAATAAATAAATTTAATATGAAGCAAAGATCTATACTTTGGGCCTGTCTATAAGTCTAAATGCTTACTTATATATTTCACATTTAAGAAACTAAGGCAGAAGTGGAACTGTGGTTCAAGTGGCAGAGCACAAGCCTGGAGCATTAAGATGCTCAGGGACAGTGCCCAAGGCCTGAGTTCAAGACCTAGGATTAGCAAAAAAAAAACACAGAGAAACTGAGGAGCTTTTAGTATGACTTAACAATATGAAATGGCAAAAATAGTATTCAATCACTATGGTATCCTGTCATTAAACTTTACTAAACTGAGTAGTTGGGGAATGTGGAGGGGAATAAAAGAACTTCTTGCTTTTAATGACTTGGAAGTCATTAGTTATTCATTGCTGATTACTTATTCTCCATTCTCTTTTTCATCCTATTAAACTAAATTTTCTTGAAACCTGTCACCCTATTCAAACCACAGCATATTAAAATCACTGCCAGCATGTCAAAATCCTCTAGACTGTGGAACAGGGACCAGTCTCATCACTAACAGGAGGACAAATGTGCAGCCTGTGTCAGTGCATCACCATCCCCTGCCCCACAATGTCACCCCAGAGTTCAGAGAGCCTGGCCACGTTTCCAAAGCTCATCTGGCCCCAGACACACCTAGAGACCTGCCCCAGCTGATGGGCAGAGCTTTGGGACAAGTGTGTGACATGAACTGCTGCCTCAGTTCCAGTGGAGGTCGGGAGGCTCAGGACTGCCATCAGCACACCTGAGGGCTAATCAAGGCTCCGGGTGGCCCAGCCCAGATGCCCTGTGGCTGCCAAGGTGAGACCTATGGAGACCTAGCTTCTGTGGAGGACCCTGAAACACCTCTCATCCCAGTTGTCAAGTTTTCGTATTTGGAACCCAGTTGTAAATTCAGTGACAAGCACAAAGAAGCAAAGATCATTGTTTCCTTACCCCAAAGTAAAAACTGATTCATACACTGAAAAAGAACTCCTCTGATCACAGAGCCACACAAACATCCTAAAGCACTTCCACAAATATTTCAGAAAGACTGCTGATGTTGTGGTTCACGGTAGTGACCTGGAACACCACCATCTTATTGCGCAGGAAGAGCCAGTGAGAGCTAGGTTGGGAACTCATTAAATGCCACCACATTGTGAAAATCTGTATTCACTTACCCAAAATTAAAACATGGTTCACAAAGTCAAAAAGAACTCCTCCAATCATGGAGCCACACAAAAATCCAGAGGCCTGGCCAACAAATATTAGCGAAAGGCTACTGATATTGCGGTTCACATTAGTGGCCAGATCTTGAAATGTGGGTCCCAGTATAGCTGTACTCATTCCCTAAAATTGAAAAGATGAAGCTTTTTATTAACAATCATTAACATAACACCTAAGTGGTAGTATCAATTCCTACTATAAAAAATGTGAGGCCTCTCCCCATGGTATAACCCCTGTTCCACTGTGTTTGATTCCTGTGCCCTGCATCTTGTATATATATTTTTCTAATTTAGGGAAGGAAAGAGAAATCACAAAATGCTGGAATGAGGATACAGGATGACCTATTGTAACAATGAGATGTAAAATGTTGAAAATGAACTTTACAACTTGGTGTGGGGAGGGAGGAGTTGGGAAGGTGGGGAGGGAAGGGATGGTAGGGAGAAAAAAGGAGGAAACAACAATGCTCTATAGGAAATGTACTCCTTACCTTCCTCATATAACCCCTCAGTACAGTATGTTTACAATAAAAATATATACACAACACTCACACACACACACACTCACACACACACACACAAAGCTGTGAGGCCATACACTATATGGACTGGAACAAAGCCAGGGAAGGAATGAAACTGTTCAAAAAGAAGAAATGTATTATTTACCTGACTTACAAAACTGTAACCCCTTTGTACCTCATCTTTATAATAACAATTTAAAAATTAAGAAAAAATTAAATCTGCGATAATACTTCTATTACTAGAGCTATATACTCCCATGGTTTTTCTTCTATCTACAACATTCCATTAAAACAATACATAATTCATTCCTTTGGCTTTTTAATGTAATGCTCTTTCTTTGTGAACAATAGCTTTAAAACGCTATTCTCACTTTATGTTTATAGAATGTAACATAATTATTCTTTTGGGAAAAGGGGTCTGAACGATTCTTGTCCCTTTTTTCTTTATTACTATTTTCTTTTTTTTTTTTTTGCCAATCCTGTGGTTTGAACTGAGGGCTTGGGCACTGTCCATGAGCTTCTTTTGCTCAAGGCTTTACCACTTGAGCCATAGCACCACTTCTGG